ATTGGATTCTGGTTATATTAATTAGAATGGCTTGTTTATTAGTTTAATTTAAGATCTTAATTGATATAGAGATCAGTGTTAAAAAAAAAGAGTTAACCACACCCTTCATTTCTTACCATGGATTCAGCATGGAAAGAGAAATTTAGAAATGTAGAAAAAGAAATTTAGTGAATCAGATTTTCCTACCGTGTAGTGTAAATTTTTATCATGTAAAGAGGGCATCCTTTCTCTGAAAAATATCAAACTCTTCAGAAAATTATGGTAATTAACTTTTGCCTACTAGATAGATATCAGTTGCCAAATATCAGCCTGACAGGGTGGAAAATGGCTTCATATACTTGGGTTCTTGTCTCAGCTCTATACCAACTAAGTATATAGCCTTGAACAAGTCACCAACATGTGTGGAATCATTAATAAAATCAAAAATTGAACTTTGTCTTACATCAATTCTTTGGCATCTCCCAGAGAAAACCAATTTCTTCCCTTGAAATTGAAAATAATGGTAAAATCTGGCTGTCATTTATTGAGCATGCTATCTGGCATAGTGCTAAATTCTTTACAAACATGTATTAATGAATCTTCTGTATCACTCATGGTTCTGACTTGCAGACAATAGAGCTAGTTTAGAAAAACAGTGCAGAGACTTCTTGGGAAAGCCAGAGATCAAGCTCAGAGACTGTACTTACCTGAACAATGCCCACATCACACCTGATGAGCTGGTCCTGCAGAGAGTCACCAGTCCTAGTCAGACAGGACATTCACATTGTTGCTGCTGAGACTAGAGACCAGACGCTTTGCCCTTGCTGGATCAGTCACATGTGATACTTCAAACAACACCATTGTCTACAGGTAGACTGCACATCCCTGCCACCTCACACTGCTCACTTTCAAACCAGTCCAAGACAGATGCTTCTGATCAGCAGCACCTAGAGTAGCTGCCAGTAGTCCTGCTACAAAAGGAAACTGGGAAACAAATTTTTGGATTCTACCTCAGGAAGGAAGAATCAGAAAATCAAATTTTTGGTTCATATTTTAGAGATAGTAAAAGTACAGCTGAAACTCAAAGTACCCATAGATTAACTAGTTATACTGCTCCCAAGTAATTTAATAAAATTTATACCTAGATTTTCTTGATTGCAAAGACACTTTTTGACACTCTGCTATATGGGTACTTTCTGGTGATTAAGTTTTCCTCATAAGGATCAAGAGAACAATAAAATCTCTAATTTTCCAGATGAAAGTTTGCTTCCCAACTTTTTCTCTTTCACCATTACCCATCTCTACTCCCTTCTTTGCCAAATTCAGAGACATGTGTTCCTTCATCGCATTTGTGTAATCCATATCAGTCAGGACTCTTGGCTGCAAGCAAACAAAATCAACATGGTTAAGTTTAAGAAGAAAAGGAGTTTGTTGAAAGTATTTTAAGCCTGTCAAAAGTTACAAAATATCTGGATAACCAAGCTCATAAAATGTGCAGAAACTAAGGAAAGTCACACAATTGAAGCCACAGCTAAGGCCACATCACAGGAACTGCTGCCCCCAACTGGACACTGGACACTACCACTACTGCCAATGAACATGACCACTAGACAGAATAAATTCACTTGCCTGATTTTTATCACTTGCTGTTTATTAAAAACTGAACACTGAATGGCCAAACTTAGGGTGAAGAGAGCAAAGGCTTAGTGGATTTTGTAGATGGAGGGTAGGCCCTGCCTCCACCAGGATTCCTACAGAAGATTGCCCAACCTAGAAAGGTGATTCAGATGCTGGCATGGTAAACAGAGGATCTGAGATGAGGCAAATCAATTCTGATGTTTTGGTGTCAGAGATCCAGCTCTTCAGGGATATGGACCCTTATCACAATTATATAAGTCACTCCATCATTAACCTGTTCCCCAGCCCCTGGGGAATAAGAATATGAATATCTGGGGTCTTCCTATTGTAAGGGAGATGGAAATGGGCTGCAGGACAGTGGGAGATGGGCAAGGTCTTGTCCATGGAGTAGAAAACAAAGAAGGGTTGTGGCAAGGCTCAGATATAACTCATGATGGAGGAAGATATTTATTAGCTCTTTAGCAGAGGTATGGTTCAGATATTTTACCTCATTTCATAGACTGTCACTTCCTGTTGATTTTTTTTCTGCACATAAGTTTTTAGTACCTCTGGCTTTGTTCTTTTTGCTCAAGATTGCTTTGGCTGTTCAGAGTCTTTCATGGTCCATATGAATTTCAGGATTTTCTACTTCTGTGAAAAATAATTTTGATAGGTATTTCATTGAATATGTAGGTTGCTTGAGTGGTACATAATGTATATTAACTTCTAAGCCATAACCATAGGATATCATTCTATCCATTTATGTCTTCTTTAGTTTCTTTCATCAGTTCTTAATAGTTTTCAGTATATAGCTCTTTTACCCCTTAAGTTAACTTTATTGCTAGGTATTCTGTCCTTTTAAATGCTATTATGAATAGGATTATTTCCTTGATTTATTTTTTAGATAGTCCATAATTATTGCATTAAAATGCTACTCTTCTTTGAGTTGGTTTTATACCTTGAAATTTTACTGAAATAATTTTTAATTCTAGAATTTTTTAGTGGAATCTATATATATTATATATCATGATATCTACAAATAAATACAATTTAGCTTCCTCCTTTATGATATAGATACCTTTTATTTCTATTTCTAAATTGCTTTGCCTAAAGCCTCTAGTGCTGTTGAATACAAGCAGAAAGAGTATCATTTTGTTTTATTCCTGATTTTAGAAGAAAAACTTTCAGCTTTTTATTAGTAAATATGACTATAGCTATGAGATTGTCATACATGAACTTTATTATATTGAGGTACATACTTTCTATACCTAACTTTTTAGAGTTTTATCATGTAAAATGTTTAAATTTGTCAAATGCTTTTCTGCATCTATTGATATGGTCATGTGGTTTCCTAAAAAAAAAATAGAACCACCATATGCTCCAGCAATTTCACTTCTGGAGATATATATATATATGTAAATAATCTCCAAATGAAATGAAACCAGTATGTTGAAGAGATATTGCCATACGATTCATTTTTGTTTTATTTGTTTATTTTTTATTTGTTTATTTTTGGTATTGGGCATCGAACTCAGACTTTTTATTTTCTAATTTTGAGACAGGGTCTTTCTAAGCTGCTTAGGGCCTTACTAAATTTCTAAGACTGGCCTTGAAGTTGAGATCATCCTGCCTCCTGGGTTGCTGGGATTATAGGCCCATGCCACCATGCCCAGCTATTCATTCTTTAAAAGGAAAAATAAAGAAAATCCCATCATTTGGAACAACCTGAATGAACATGGAGGTTGTTTTGTTAAGTGAAATAATCCAGGCACAAAAAGATTAATATTGCATGATCTCACTTACACATGGATCTAAAAAAGTCAAACTCATAGATACAGATAGCAAAATGGTGGTTACTTGGGGGTTGGGGTGGGGGTGGGGGACAGGAAGGAACAGGAATCATCAAAAGATGCAAAATTTCAGTTATAATTCAGAAGACTCATTGTAGTTTATGGTATCTTCAGTTAATAATAATGTTATATACTTGAAAATTGCAAAGAGAATAGATTTTAAATGTTCTCATCACAAAAATTAAATATGTGAAGAAGTTGATAAATTAATTTGATTTAATAATTTTATAATGTATACTTATATTACAACATCATACTATATGCCATAAATATATTAAATATTTATATACCGGGCTGGGGATGTGGCTCAAGCGGTAGCATGCTCCCCTGGCATGGGTGCGGCCCGGGTTCGATCCTCAGCACCACATATAAACAAAGATGTTGTGTCTGCCAATAACTAAAATGTAAATAAAATATTAAAAAAAATTATCTACCAATTATATACATACATATATATGTGTGTGTGTAGGTTTATATATATGTGTGTGTGTGTGTGTGTATATGTATATATATACATAATGTGTGTGTGTATATATATGTATATATATACAAATGTGTGTGTGTATATATATACACACACACACACATAGGATAACCATAGGATATATATATATATATATATATATATACATATATTTTATTATTTATAACTTTTTATTATTTTATTATTTATGATTTTCAGTGTGTGTGTATGTGTGTGTGTGTATACATACACAATTTTTTGTACCAGTATTGAACTGAGGGGTGCTTAACCATTCAGCCCCATTCCCAGCCCTTTTTATTTTTTATTTTGAGACAGGGTCTCACTAAGTTGCTTAGGTCCTCACTAATTTGCTGAGACTGGCTTTGAACTCGTAATCCTCCTGCCATAGCCTCCCAAGCAGCTGAAATTACAGGTGTATGCCACAATGCCTGGCTAAAATAGATAGTATTTTAAAAGGTAGTATACACAAGCAGTCATGATGTGTGGTGGAAGTGAGCAGTTCAACATGAAATTTTGCACCTGTTTCTAGGTGGATTCATTTCACTGCTCCATTCTTCTACAGGTGTTGACATCAGTATGACCTGTTCTGTTGAATAAACCACTTACTTTCACTATCCATACGTTGCTCTCAATAAAGCCAAAGGGTTGAACTAGATGGTCTATCTCAAAAGTCCTTTCCAATTCTGAAATGTTCTAAATTGATTTTCCAGATACTGAGCCATCCTCTTGGGTCTTGTAGTCAGTAGGTCAGATCAGCAAGGTAATCATCTCTCCTCAGTCTTGCAGGCCAGAAAGGCCATAACCATGACCTTGCTCTCTCTGTGTCCCATGGCTGATACCCACAGAACACACCCCTTCAACTGCAGGCCAAAGAAAAGCATGAGGAAGAAAAACTGAATCTTATTAAATAAATAATTTCTACTTCTAGTGAATTAAGTAAAAAATCTCTAAAAATGTTAGAAGAGAAACATATTCCAAAACCTAAAAAGGAAAGATTAATCCAAATGGGCTTAGGGTCCCATTTACTGATGTGAATTTTCTGCCCCAGGGAGAAGCAAAGATGATGAAAGATGGGAAGGTCTTCAGAGTGGTCCAAGAGAACTGCTGGGATCCAGAAGTTCGTATTAGAGAAATGGATCAAAAAGGTACTTATAATAAGAAATGCTACCAATGTATGTATCTGTTATAAAAAACAACGTCTGCCTTTAAAGTTTGTTAACTGGCATGACCTACCCAGGAACAACTTCTGATCTTTTTCTTTGCCAGGACATGCTGTTCCAGCTTCTGTGGGGGAAGAGAGAGGCTTCCACTATAATGCTTTTAAAGTATGGATTTAAAATGCTTTGCAATTAGTTGCATTCTGTTTAAAGTGGAATACTGTATCATCAAAAAGATAATAGTAGCATTTTATTATTTATAACTTTTAGTTCAAATTATTGTAGAATCAATTAAAATTAGAAATGACAGATTAAGGATGTCAATTGTCTGCTTAGTCAAACTTGGGATCCAATTTCTTTCTTTTCTTTTTTTTTAACAGATACAACATTTTTTACACCTTTATTTTATTTATTCACTTTTATGTGGTGCTGTGGATCAAATCCAGTACCTCACACATGCTAGGCAAATACTCTACCACTGAGCCACAGCCACAGCTCGGACCCAATTTCTTTTTGTCTCAGTGCACTAGATAGGTAGGTAGTTAGGTAGGTAGATAGATAGATAGATAGATAGATAGATAGATAGATAGATAGATAGATAGATACACAGACAGATCTACTGACACAAAAGGGGTATAAGGTTAAAAAAAGGTAATTGTGCAATCTCAGAGTACTCTATGATGAAAGCAATCTGAGAATCTGAAAGAAGAGGATTAGGAAATTTTTGTTTCAAAGCTGAATTGCTAACAATTTCTAGGAACTGCTTGCATTCCTTATATCTAAAAAGAAAACAAGTCCTCACGATTAAGAATTTCAAAGACTATCTAAAATATATGATGGCCACATAATGCTTTCATTTATTACTTCCTGGCTCACTATGCTCCCTGAGGAGAGCATGCTCCAAGAAAATGCATCAAACCTTTCAGACTTATACGAGCCAAGCCCATTCTAGGGAATTCACCGCTTCTGGCACTACCAGTCCTCAATTGTGACATTGGTGATCTAAATTTGAACCAGAAAACAAACAACACACACACACACACACACACACACACACAGGCACACACACACACACCAGTTTAGAACTACCATTTTCCTAATCAAAGAAAGAAAAATTTAGAAGTTTATATATATTTATACAGAAAGAGAGAGAGAGAGAGTAGAAAACTTTGATTTTATTCCAAGGAATCAACCTGGCAGCCCAAAATGACTAGGTGGTCTCTGGTATGTTAGAATCTATAGGAAACTTTTGTCTAGGTGTGGCTTTCCATTTTTTATTTATTGTTTGTTTTTTGTTTATTTATTGGCACCAGGGATTGAACCCAGGGGGACTGACTTAGCCACATCCCCGCCCTTTTTTTTTTTTTATTTTGAGACATAGGTAAGTTGCTTAGGGCCTCGTTAAATTGCTGAGACTGGTTTTGAAATTGCAATCCTCTGCCTCAGCCTCCTAAGCTGCTGGGATTGCAGGAGCGTGCCACCACGCCCAGCTGCTTTCTATATTTTTTAACAATTTAAAATATACCTTTATGGCCTGGCATAGCAGCACATACTTCTAATCCTGGCAATGCAAAACAAAATAAAATATTTATATAAATATTTTAAATATAAATACTTCATATATATTTTAAAGATAAATATTTTAAATATAAAATAATATAAAAAATGTATCAAAATAAAATGAGCTGGGGATGTGGCTCATCATTTAAATGGCCCTGGGTATAATCCTACACACACACACACACACACACACACACACACACACACACACACATATCCCTAGGTGGCATTCAAATGGAACTTTTCAGAATCTGAAGCACTTCCCTGTTCTAAGAGTACATTAGGATAGAAGCAGAGCTGGAAAAGAACATGCTTCCTAGATCTACAACAAAGAGCAAGGCTTTGCTATAGATGTGAATGGATAAAAATGGCCCATGCTTTCAAGGAGAAAACTAGTGGGAATGAGACTTGGCTGACTAGTGTCAGAAATCATTTATGGCTATAGTATAGATGGAAGTACACGTCTCTTTGGCTGTTGTTGTTTCAATCCATTGCTATCATTGAGAAAATAGTCATGACTAATCCTTACTGAACATTTACTTTGTGTCATACACTGTTCTGAACACCCAACGGGTATTGATTCATTTAATTCCTACAACAGCTCCAGGAGGTGGGCTCTCTTGAAGACAAGTGATTCTTGGCATCCTAGATTCTGTAGCCAAACTCAGGATCCCATTCTGGATATTTCAGACAATGAGGCTCCAACTAGGCTGATTTAGGAGCTGAACTAAGAGGGTAGGGAAGAGTGCTAAGAGATACATTGTCATGTGTGACCTAAGTTGAAAAATCCTGGCAGGGGTGGAGGGGCAGGGAACAGTGGAAAATGTCTTGCTTAAATAACACTTTACAGGAAGGAGGGTGGAGGAAACTTCTGGTCAATGAGTCAACTTATTTTTCTTGAATGACCTAATTTTGGTCCAACCTTTACCTCTCTCCCAAGATCTTAGGCTGATGGATGAGGTAGGCCTGGGAAATGGCCTGAGAGAAGGGGCACTGGGAGGAGCACCCAGGGAGAGGTGACAGGAGGAGTTTGGGGCAGAGGCTTGCTGGCCTCTTTGCTCTGGGAAAGGCAGTAGTGCCTGGGTTATTCTTCTCACCAGCTTTGCTTTTTTTGTGTGTCTGTGTCTAGGAGTATCAGTGCAAGCTCTTTCTACCGTTCCTGTCATGTTTAGCTACTGGGTGAGTATGAAACTTCAGACCATCACCCTAGTGGGGAATGCTCATGTCTAGCTCCCCAACAAGTGACCAAGGCTCCCCCTCCCCCAACAACAGCAGCATCCTCTCCCAGGCCTGTCTTCTTAGCCACGTCCTTGCTCCAGAACAGTAGCCAGTAGGATGTGACTCACATTAAAGTTCCACTAGAACTCAACCTTCATCTCCACCAGAATGTACCTGTCTGGTGACTCATTCCTGCAATGCCTTGCTGGGGAACTGACAAGCCAGTTTATTCTGAGGTGAGAATGATTTTGAAAAAAGATGATCACAGCCTAATGTGTTGCTTCTCCCAAGGAAATATATAATTCAAAGTGAAAGTCCTGGACTTGGATCCCTTTCCTCAAGTTAATAAATCTCAAGCACTGAAAATTTCAGGCATGATTTGGAGCCTGCTGAGGGAAACTTCTGTGTAGAGTTGAAGTTGTACTAAATACCTGCCCAGCCAAGCAGATATTTACTCCTCTTGTGATTTAAGAAGTAATGGAAATACCACCCATTCCATATACTTCCCCAACCTGTGTTCATAAATCCAGTATTAGAGGTTTAGTCCTTCTCTGCTCCTATGTTTAGATTCACTACTTAAAATAAAATGCCTTAAAACCTCAGTATGCCTGAACTTATCAAACTAAGCATCACTCTGACCAGACAACTGGAATTGCAAGTAGAGTACCGAATTCCTGGCAGCGGGGTGATGTTGAAAGAAAGAAGACAGTGCAGAAGAGAGAGTTAGAGAAACCAAAAGCAAAATTTATCTGTCTTAGCCTTTTGCTGAGTCTAGCTACAAGTGTCATAGCCAATAGGAAGGATATATAAGAGGACAGACAAGGATGGTAGAGGTCTGTGGGCAAGGCTAGCATCCCTAAAAGAAGAGTGACAAAAATGTGAACTGATGGTAGCTTCAGGCATTGGGCCAGATACAGCCTTCTAACCGAGGAAGCCATCAAAATCTGTTTGCAATTGGTGGTGGCCCATTTTCATTTCGTCTCTAGTATGAAATGGCCCAGTAATTAGGATGCCAGTCCCAGTAATCTATTCTAGCTTCAATTTTTCTAAGTGACCAGTATACACTGGCAGTTTTCTTTGATATTTACAAAGATTGGGTCTTCTGTGGGGAGTGCCTTTCTCATTCTGTACCTCAGCTTTATGATGGGTAAAGCCATTGAGAAAGACAAATAGTTTAGCCAAGAGAAGGCATTGTTTAGAGTAAATGACTAAAGAAGTAGGTTTTGAACAACATAGTTTTCCCTCTCCTGTTTCCACCAGGCCAAACCTCAAGACACTTTGGATCTATGCCAACTTTTAAACAACAACATAGCTGCCACTGTTGCCAGCCACCCCAGGAGGTTTGTGGGTCTGGGGACATTACCCATGCAGGCTCCAGAGCTGGCCATCAAGGAGATGGAGCGCTGTGTGCAGGAGCTGGGGTTTCCAGGGGTCCAAATTGGCTCCCACATCAATAAGTGGAACCTGAATGAGCAGGAACTCTTCCCGGTCTATGCAGTGAGTACACAGCTGTCACTCAACCAAGGCGTAGCCCCAGAATACCTAGCTGGGGACAGGCACCTTGCTGGGTGCTAGTAGGAAGATACAGGCACCTCCCACTGGGGTGGAAGACAGAAATGACTTATATATAGACAGGAGATGTGGAAATCCTCTACCAAAACTCCTCCCGAAAAAGGAATGGGTCATTCTACAGAAGAAGGGCAGTGTAAATACTTCCTAGGCCAGTTCTGAGTTAACTCAATGATGACATATCTCTTCTTCCTATCATTCTTGTTCTCTTTTTAATCTTTTATTTGGAAGCCTAAATATCACCCTCATCACAAGCATTGTGTATAGAACCATGTCAATGCCAAAAAAATTTGGGTTTTCTTTGGGAAAAATACTTAATGTATTTCAAAAATATGAAATAAATTTGAAGAAACTATGGAAAATACAGAAAAATATAAATAAATAAAAAGTCACCCTTAATCCTGCAACTCAAAGTAACAACCGTTGTAGTACATTTTGTTTTTTTTAAAACTGCATATATCCTAAGCCAACCTCAGCAACTTAGCAAGGCCCTAAGCAACTAACTGAGACCCTTTCTTTAAATAAAATGCAAAAAAGGGCTGGGGTATGGCTTAGTGGTTAAGTGCCCCTGAGTTGAATCCTTGGTACAAAAAGAAAAAACTTCATATATCCATACTTTAACAAAATTGACATTTTTTTACACTTGTGTTTTCAAATGCTAATTGAGAACTTCCAAACTAAATGAAATTTATCTTAATGTGTGATTTTTAACTGCAGAATATTCTAATATATGAATTTATTTTTATTTATTTAACCTGACCTCAATTAAGAAACTTTTGAAATTATTTTTTATTTATTTATGATAGCAGAATGCATTACAATTCTTATTACACATATAGAGCACAATTTTTCATATCTCTAGTTGTATACAAAGTATATTCACACCAATTCATGTTTTCATACATTGTACTTTGAATAATAATGTCCATTACATTCCACCATCATTTCTAACCCCATGGCCCCTCCCTTCTCTTCCCATCCCTCTGCCCTATCTAGAGTTCGTTTATTCCTCCCATGCTCCCCCTCCCTACCCACTATGAATCAGCCTCCTTATATCAAAGAAAACATTAAGCATTTGGTTTTGGGGGATTGGCTAATTTCACTTAGCATTATCTTCTCCAACTCCATCCACTTACCTGCAAATGCCATGATTTTATTCTCTTTAATTGCTGAGTAATATTCCATTGTGTATATATACCACATTTTAAAATCCATTCATCTATTGAAGGGAATCTAGGTTGGTTCCATAGTTTAGCTATTGTGATTGTGCTGCTATAAACATTGATGTGGCTGTGTCCCTGTAGTATGCTGTTTTTAAGTCCTTTGGGAATAGACTGAGGAGAGGGATACCTTGGTCAAATGGTGGCTCCATTCCCAGTTTTCCAAGAAATCTCCATACTGCTTTCCATATTGGCTGCATACCATTTATTGATTCTTGATTTTAATTCTTGTGCCAAAGAAGTCTTATTAAGGAAGTTAATCTCCATCCCACAAGATGGACATTAGGGCCTCCTTTTTCTTCTATTAGATGTAGGGTCTCTGGTTTTATTCCTAGGTCTTTGATCCATTTTGAGTTAAGTTTTGTGCATGGAAAGAGATAGGAGTTTAATTTCATTTTGTTGCATATGGATTTCCAGTTTTCCCACCACCATTTGTTGAAGAGGCTACCTTTTCTCCAATGCATGTTTTTGACAACTTTGTCTAATATTAGATAATTGAAATTTTGTAGGTTAGACTCTGCGTCCTCTATTTGGTACCATTGGTCTACCAGTCTGTTTTGGTACCAATCCCATGCTGTTTTTGTTACAATTGCTGTATAGTATATTTAAGGTCTAGTATAGTGATGCCACCTGTTTCACTCTTCCTGCTAAAGATTGCTTTCGCTATTCTGGGTCTCTTATTTTTCCAGATGAATTTCATGACTGCTTTTTCTATTTCTATGAGGAATATCATAGGGATTTTGATTGGAATTGCATTAAATCTGTACAGTGATTTTGGAAGTATGGACATTTTGATAATATTTTGACTTCTTTCTTTAAGGTTCTGTAATTTTCATTATATAGATCTTTTTCACCTCTTTCACTAAGTTGAATCCCAAGTATTTGAGGGGGGAAGAGTCTATTGTAAATGGGGTAGTTTTCCTCATTTCCCTTTCACAGGATTTGTCACTGATATAGAGAAATGCCTTTGATTTATAGGTGTTGATTTTATATCCTGCTACTTTGCTGAATTAATTTAATAGTTCTAGAATTTTTCTGGTGGAACTTTTAGGGTCTTCTAGTTATAGAATCATATCATCACCAAATAGTGCCAATTTGAGTTCTTCTTTTCCTATGTGTATCCCTTTCATTTCTTTCATCTAATTGCTCTGGCCAGTGTTTCAAGAACTATATTAAATAGAAGTGATGAAAGAGGGCATCCTTTGTCTTGTTCCAGTTTTTAGAGGGAATGCTTTCAATTTTTCTCCATTTAGAATGATGTTGGCCATCATGGGGCTTAGCATAGATATCTTTTATGATGTTGAGATATGTTCCTGTTATCCCTAATTTTTCTAGTGTTTTGAACATGAAGGGGTGTTATATTTTGTCAAATGCTTTTTCTGTGTCTAATCTATTAAGAAACTTATAAAATCACATATTTTGAAAATGTATAGTAAAAATCCATAGTGAAAAATTATGCCATGAAATTGTTAACATTTGATGAAATTAGATGGTGAGAATATCAATGTTTGTTGAACTATTGTTTACGCTTTCTATATTTTTTTAAAGAGAGAGTGAGAGAGGGAGAGAGCGAGAGAGAGAGAATTTTTTAATATTTATTTTTTAGTTCTCAGCGGACACAACATCTTTGTATGGTGCTGAGGATCGAACCCAGGCCGCACGCATGCCAGGCGAGCGCGCTACCGCTTGAGCCACATCCCCAGCCCTGCTTTCTATATTTAAAATACTTCAAAATACAATAATTTTCAAATATTCAGTGCCATCCATTTTTGAAGAACCCAACTTCAAACATGTATCACTTCACAATTCTATTACCAGCCCTCCTCTTCTTCTTTCTGTTTCTTCTGTAACTAAACCTGCTATACTCAATATCAGATTTCAAGATGCATGATTCTTTACTCAATTGCATTTCTAAATTCCTTACTTCCCTCCTAGAATTACAATGACTGATTCACTTTGTAATCTTTTCATTGTAAGTGCAAAATCTTTAATAATGTATTAAATAGACATTTATGGACTCACCAGGCACCCTACTCACTATCATTTATTCATTTTTTATTCATTTAATATTTATTGAGCTCTAATTACATGCAAAAATATCTATGGTAACTGCTCACCAGTTGGGGGATTACCTGTTAAATTGCCTCCTGATGACCTGAAACATTTCAGGTTCCTCTAAATATTGAACTCCAGGAAGCTTATTGGCTGCAGTGGCATAGTTGATACAGTGATGTTTCCTGGAAACCTTAATGAGCTTTGAAAAATGATTTATTTACTTGTGCATCCAAGTTGTTTCAGCACAGTGTGAGTGAAACTTCAGTTGCAAGTCATTTTATTATTCATTAGAATCAAATATATGAATTAATAAGCGGCTTAGAAAGTAACAGCAGCCAATTGGAGTCCACATAGATATTTTCATTTGTGTGACTATCTCATCAATCATTCTAACTATATTAGGGGCTGCCAGTCTCTGAAGGATTCAGGAGCACATCCTGACCCCAGTGGACTTGTAATGTCCTGGGGTTGACAGCACATTTGTTTGGTTAGCAAGGCTTGCCTGCCTCACTGCTCTCTAGTTTGCGTCAGTAACCTGCTCAAACAAATGAGGAATTTCTGAGAGCCAAATTGGCTTGGTCATTTTAAAGTAAGCCTGGTGCTCCAGAGCATCTAACTATCCCCTTAATCTCCAAGATCTCCATTGCTAGTGAGTAAACCAAATTACACATGCTCAAGTCAGTTTTTAGGCACAAAAATGACATTGTTACTGCTACAAGGCAGATGAAATGGTAGTACTAGATTGCCTGGCTCTACCATTTTTCTGCCAGGAATACTGAGTAAGTTACTTAGACTCTATCTACCTCAATTTTCTTCTTTGTAAAATGAGGGGGAATAAGAGTGTTTATCTCATAAAGGATTAAATTAGTCTATAATTGTCAAATTCTTATAACAACTTCAGCACATGGTAAGTTCTCAGTGAATGTTAGCTGTGATTTTGAGAGTATAAGTGACTTTATGTAGAGATACAATGCCTTATGTACATAAGGAGATCTTTTAAATATTGATTTAAATTGAATTGAAGTAAACCATCATAGGCACATAGATTAAAGTGTCATCTAATGAGGACTCAAATACTTCTGAGATGTGCCTTTGCCAAACCCAAACTGTCCCCAAGAAGATGTTATTCTCTTTCCAAACTGCATACATTATCAGAAATCAATTAGCTTCTCTCCCTTCAAAAGGCTTGATTTCTCTGCTCCCTAGAATCTGTTGAGTTAGAAATCTTCTTCAATTTATCCTTCGTCAGCCATTTCCAGAATTCCCTTTTGTCCAAAACTGTTTTTCCATTTTTAAAATGCTTATGTACACAAGTCACATTGCATCAGCCCAGTTAGCACAAATATTTATGTATGAAGATAGGATGAGTCACTCCAGCACCCCAATACATTCGAAAAAAAAATGTTCTAAGGAAAATGTGTTTTGAACCTTAGTAAGCACTAATATTCAATGCTTGTTGAGGGAACTTATCTTAATTAAACATTCTGTTGAATAAAGGTCATTCTATCCAGATCGTATTTCCATTTCCCAGAAGTCCCTGGAGCAGGTTTGTCCATGACATTTATCTTAAAACCTGCCAAGCTCAGGTGAGGTGATCTCATTCACAGCAGACTGTTCAGGGATTCATCTGGGCTCTGGGGACTGTGTGAGTGCCTATGGACTCCAGAAGTTACCACCCACTGTGCGTTCTGAATGGCTCAGTAGTTCATAGTCAGCCCAGCCCTGAAACACTGGTCTCCAACCATCATTGTCTCATTTTCTATAGCCTCAGGTTTCCAAGTGGAAAAAAAGAAAGGAGCATTCCTGCCCTGACTTCAAGAATATCACATCTCTACTGTCTTTCCCAAAGAGAGGACCAGCAGGGAAATGTGCCCCCACATTGGAGGTGTGGGATTATTAGTTCCTAGACATTTTGCCCCCAGAGAACATTTGTGAGTGATGGCTATTTCCTGTGACTTGTTCTGCCAAACAATATGTTAAATGCATCAACCTCAATGGTAAATCCACCAATTCCCTTTTTCAATTCTGAAAGTCCTTTTTATTTCCCAAACAGGAGCAGAGTTTATCAATGATTCGATTATATAGATCAAGAAACAATTTCAACAATATTTTGGTTTATTTATTCAGATAAGCAGTTTCCCTAAAACAGTACCTTGTATTTGCTGGCTCCTTCAAATAACCTCTCTCTTTCTCATTGCTTCTTTGAAGGCAGCTGAACGGCTGAACTGCTCCCTGTTTGTGCACCCTTGGGACATGCAGATGGATGGACGGATGGCTAAATATTGGCTTCCTTGGCTCGTAGGTTTGTGTCAGCTTGGGGTCTGGAACAGACACCAAACCTTGCGTTTTTCCAGTCATCTCTGAAACCCTCTTGTCAAGAGAGAAAATATGAATAATTAACATGATTGAATATAATAGCAACTGCCATTTATTGAGCAAATAAGTGCTGTATATATTACTGTTTGATTTTAATCATATCTAGTATGATCATAAATAAGTCACATCCTAAATAAATAACATATTTACTCTACAAGGTTGATATTATAATATCCACTTTACAGATGGAGAAACTAAGTCTTGGGGTGGTTAGGTAATTTGTCTACATCACACAGTTAATGAGAGAAAATGGAATTTGCACATATCTGTTTGATTGCACAATTAACAGCATCAGCTGTTATAAATGAGGGCCTGGAATTATAAGTAGAAAGTTAACTTCTTCCACACAAGGATCTGAAACCTTAGATTATAGAAGACCTGTATTCCCCATGATGACCCTGTTATTTGCTCTCTCTTCTGCTCTTTTTTATTCCCCCTGTACCAGTTATTCAAGGTTCCACATGAAAGTGAGGGAAACAGAAAAAGAAGAAGCCTCCCTTTGTCCTATCCAATCTCTTAGTATTGGTCCCAATAGGAAGAAAAGATGGAGAATAGATGTAAAACTCTGGAGCTACAAGTGAAAAGTGCAGCTAATCAAAGACCCAGTGAAAAGTGTTGGACTTTATTAGAGGGGGATTATCCATTCTCTCTCTCCAGCCTCTCCAGTCTAATTAGTATAATTATTAATTATGAAGTAATCAAATGGCAACCACCATGAAGAGTTAAATGAAAAACAATATATTGGAAGTCAAAACCAGAATTTCTGTTGCAGCTTAATTTCTATTTCACTGTATAATCTGAGGCAAATCACTTCATCACCTTGGGCCCTATTTCCTCATCTATAAAATAACAAAACTGATCTGGATTCCTTTAAAGTTATCTTTCTGCTCTTACACTTTATATACTCCTGTGATTGCTGGTGGAAACTAAAGTATTTAAATAAGATAGCTTCCTACCCACCCCTACCAATTTTTTGAATAACAAGAAGAAGAGATAACCTAAGAGGCTCAGTCAGTTCTGTCCAGCTTCCAAGATAATCTCATCCCAATTCACAAACTTTTGACAAGTCCAACAAACTTACTAATATTGCAACTTTCCACATGAAAAACATTATTTGCATATAGTCATTTCATCATTCATTTATGTAACACACATGTGTGTGTATATGTGTGTGTGTGTGTGTGTGTATAGATCTCCTCAAAAATATCAAGCTTTGTACTAGGCACTTGGGATATACATCTGAACAAAACCTCTGTCCTCATGGAGCTTATATTCTGGCTTGAGGAAAAAAATTATTTTAAACAACTACACCAATAATAAAGATGCAAACAGGTCAATTTCAAGAAAGTTATTGTGAATACAAAAATGATGTTAGTGCATTGTACAATTTCCAGCAGGGAAGGATTACAATCAAATTCACATTGTAAATGTAACTTTAGCTCCTCAATGAAGGATGTCTTATGAGGCTGTGGTTGAAGTAATTAATGGAAAGCAGAATCACAGGACCAGAAAGAAATAATGCTGTCCATTCCCCAGCTTTCAGTAAGCTCTGCCTTTAGCTCAATTCAAGATGGATATGAATCCATCATTTTTCCAAAATTCCCAGGAGGCCAGGGAGCTAGAAGTATCTCTGCCTGTGGTGTATCAATGGGCAGAATGAGCATCCAGGGAAGCTTCAGTCGGCAGCCCAAAGTCAGGCTTCCTCAGAAGGTGCAGGGCACAGCTGTACAGCATTCAGATATCTTTGAATCACAACTGGAAAAGCAGTCATCTGGCAATGTAGCCTAAACTGGCTCCTTGGGGATGAAGGCATAAGACATGGATCAGCTGTTTCTTCTAGGAGCACAAAGCACTTGAAACAACTTATGTTAATCCTGTGATTTTCAACCTTAGCTCCAAAAGCAGCAAAGATTTGGCAGAAATAGCAATAATAGTTAATATTGAGCAATAACTGAATGCCAGGAGCTATCTGCTGAATCCTCAAAATAGCCTATGGCAAGAACTAGCCATTATGATCCTCATTTTACAGATGAGGAAATTAAGACACAGAGAGGTAACTAATTTTTGCTGAGCACAATGATAGAATGTGACATTCTATCCAGGAACTTTGCTGACATCATACTTGCAAAATTCCATAAAAGCCTTGCAAGATAGGCAGCAAGGTCTTCATTTTTACAGGTAAGAAGCACAGATCCAGTAATATTAAGTAGCTTATCACAGACCAGGAGGCAGAAAATTGCAGGAGCTAGCATTCAGCCCAGACTCCTTACACTCACTCTGCTTGCCCTACTCCATCCAAAAGTGAAGTCAGGAGAATCAGGACAAGACCTAGGTCCTCAACAGCGCTAGCCACTAGACAACTCTCTCTGTAATGGGTAAATAGGAAGCTTCAGATGATTCTTCTTGCCAAAGCAATGGCATGTATACAGCTAAATCATGCTGGGGCTCAAGGACCCTAACTTTCTTTGGGACTGACAATTCCCTGGCTATTTGCTACTATTCCTCAGCCATTAATATTACCAAGCTTCTTCCTGCTCAAGGTGACAAGCATAAACTTTGTGACTATTTCCTCTTTCAGGAATGCCAGCAGAGACCACCATGGCTGTTTGCTCCATGATCATGGGTGGGGTGTTTGAGAAGTTTCCTAAACTGAAAGTGTGCTTTGCACATGGAGGTAAGACCATGTTTGCATTACTCAGCTCAGGTTGTCATAATGAAATGCCATATATGGGGTGGCTTAATCAACAGACATTTATTTTCTCACAGTTCTAAAAACTGAAAGTCCAAGATCAAGGAGTCAGCAGGGTTGGTGTCTAGTGAGAGTTTTTTTCCTGGTTACAAATGGCTACCTTTCCATAGTGTTCTCATATGACCCTTTTCCTGTGCATGCATGGGTCAGGGATTAGAGTCGGGAGATTGGAGAGTTCTAATATTTCTTCCTTTTCCTACAAGGACATCAGTCCTACTGGATCAAGGGCCCCACCCTCTGACCTCATGTAACCTTAATTACCTCCTTAAAGTCCTGTCTCCTCCAAATATACTCACATTGGAGGTTAGAACCTTAACACAGGAATCCTGGAGGGTTACACTTCCATTCATAACATCCTTCCAGTCACTTTTCTAGTCATATGATGTATGGGGACCAAATTCCATTTCTGTAAGCAAATTTAGTTTGGTTGGCACGGTTTTCATTTTATTTTGTTTTTTATTTAAATCCCTCTAGTCAAGCAAAGTAAGGGGAAAAGCAGGGGCAGAGCCCATGAAAACAGAGGGAAGATCAGTGGAGTAGAGGAAGGAGATTGAGTGGGAGAGAGGAGGAATAGGAAAAGTGGAATGAATTTGACAAAAGTATATTGTGTACATATATGAATATGCCACAGTGAGTTCCACCTTTATGTATATCTATAAAGCACCAATCTAAAAAATAATAAATAGAAGGGAAACCAATAGAGTGGAGGAAGGGGAATGGAGAAGGAGGAGCAGAGGGAAAGAAGAAGCACTGGAGACTGAAATGGAGCAAATTATATTCCATGCATGTATGATTATGTCAAAATGAACCCCACTATTATGTATAAATATAATACACTAATAAAATATTCTTAAAAATAAATAAATCCCTCTATTCAGACTATGAGCTCTCCAGTCCCTAATATGCCACCATGATTTTGATATCACTCAACTGCTAGGTCATCTCAATATTTTGCTATGATAACCACATTAAATTTGAAAAGCTTATATCTTTACATACTTGTCTACTCTCTTTGGCACAAATTCCTCAGAAATTTGGATTTCTGGATATATTCATGCCATTTTTCCCAAGTCATCTTCCAGCATTTGGAACCCAGCAGGTCCTTTATAAATACCTGATCAGCTGGGCTATGGAAACTTCTCCTTAGAACATCAGGATTTAAAGGAATTCTTTTCAAAAATACTGGGGACTGAACCCAAAGGTGCTTTACCACTGCGCTACATGCCCATTCCTTTATTTGTTTGTTTGTTTGTTTGTTTGTTTATTTATTTTGAGACAGAGTCTTACTAAGTTGCTTAGGGCCTCACCAAGTTCCTGAGGCTGGCGTTGAATTTGCGATCCTCCTGCTTTAGCCTCTGAAGTCACTGGGATTTACAGGTGTGCGCCACTGCACCCAGCAAAAGGAATCCTTTTTAATCAACGCTAGCTGCTCAGTAATGAATTTTACTTGCAGGTGGTGCTTTCCCTTTCACAGTGGGAAGAATTTCCCACGGATTCAACATGCGTCCAGATCTGTGTGCCCTGGACAATCCAATTGACCCGAGGAAATATCTAGGCTCCTTTTACACAGATTCCTTGGTTCATGATCCTCGGTCCCTCAAGCTGTTAGTAGATGTCATGGGAAAGGTAAGCTAGGTTTGCTATTTAGATGGTATATGCAGAGCACAAATCTGTAACCAGTTACTTGGCAAGTTAAGTAAAGGCCAATGTGAATTCATTTTTTTAAAAATTAACTATTTAGTATAGTTGTCCCTTGATATCCAAAAGGAATTGGTTCCAGGATCACCAGAGTTACCAAAATTCTCAGATGTTCAAGTCTCTTATATAAAATGGCTTAGTGTTTGCATATTTCCTACACACATCTTCCTATATATTTTCAACTCATCTCTAGATGACTTATAATATCTAATACAATGAAAATACTAAGTAAACAGCATAGTTATACTTTACTAGTATAGTAAATAGTTGTTACACTGTACTGTTGAAGGAATAGTGACAATGGGGAAAGTCTGTACATGTTCAGGGCAGAAGCAATTTTTTTTCCAAAATATTTTCAATCTATGCTTGGTTGAATCCAAGAATATAGGACCCAAGGATACATAGGACCAACTAGCCATTATTTCAGTTCCATTTTATTACTTACAGCTATCCATGGAAAAAAATTGGGGGACTTTCTTAAAAGTACATGGACATACTGAAATATTTGTAATATGGTACTTGAATTGAAATCTAAATCTTTAAAAACCTTGCTCTTGGGGTTGGGGTTGTAGATCAGTGGTAGAACACTTGCCTAGCACATGTGAGGCACTGGGTTTAATCCTCAGCACCACATAAAAATAAGTAAATAAAACAAAGGTATTGTGTCCACTTATAACTAAAAAATTATTTTAAAAAAAATCTTGCTCTCTAGAAAAAAGAGAAAGTTGCAAGTAGTGTTCTATCTCTGGAATAGATACTTCATCTACTTTAATGCTCTTTCTCTAGTTTAAGAAAATCACTAAAATATGAATGTTAAAAATTCTAGTTTGGGAATAAATTATATTAATCCCTCCTTATCCAAGGGGATACATTCCAATACCTACAATGAATGTCTGAAACCAAGATAGTAGCAAATCCTATATATAAGCACTGAGATATTACAGTAGTAAGTCTGATAACAGGATGGTTACCAAGTGACTATTACGAGTAGTCCAAACAGCCTGGATACTCTGGACAAAGGGATAATTCATTTGGACTGAACAAAGTGGGACAGTGCAAGATTTTATAATTCAACTCATTATGACATATAATTTCAAACGTATGAACTGTTTATTTCTGTAATTTTCCATTACTAAAGTAATATGGAACTTTACTTTAGTGTAAATAACCAGGGTAACTGAACCATGGAAAGCAAAATACCAGGTAAGGGTTACTACTGTACATAGTTGAACTGTGCCTCTGAGTTATCTAGCTTCTGTGTTGTCCCTGGAGCCAGCAGTTGATGGTGATTATTGATTCTTTTTCAGTTTGGATGGAGGTTGACAGAGAAGTATGTAAACAGGAAACCACATGGAAGAGAAGCTGAAAGAGACTTTCTGGGCCCTAGACTTGCAGCAATGAAGGAGGGGAATAGGGAAAGTGGTGGGAAATTGGGGAAAGTTCCATTCTCATGATATCCCTTCAAGCCTAGCATTCTTGGAAATGAAAACATTAGAAGAAAATACCCTTAGCACATACAAAGCCCATCTTCTGAGAAATACCATCAGAAGTGAGGAATACCATTAGCATCTCAAACAGTACTGAGTGCAATACACGATAGCCAGGGAGCCATATGGGAGTACATCTCTAGTAGTACTCCTAGTAAAACTCGTAAGGCATTTTGCAAATATAATTATACTGAGATTTTGCATTAAAATTTTGAATGCTTGAACTACTAAAATTTGGACAAAAGTAAACATATCCTTGGGGCTGACGTCACTCAGTGGTAAAGCGCTTGTCTAGCACATGTGAAGCAGTGGGTTCAATCCTCAGCACCATATTAAAAAATCAAGAAATATTGTATCCATCTACAACAAAAAAAAAATTTTTAAAAAGTAAATGTAGCCTCATTTTATGTGACATCACAGGCTGGTCAATTCAGGACATAGAAGATATATATATATATATATATATATATATATATATATATATATACACCCACGTGTGTGTGTATGTGTGTGTGTGTGTGTCTCTGTGTGTGTAAGCTCCAAAAACAAACTCCAAATCAAGAATAGCTAGGAAAAGTCCTAGCAGTATATATGGGCAAGAGAGTAACCTATCCAGATTGCAACAAGAAAACAGGTTCCTGAGGAATGAGGTCCCCAGGAAGGAAAAAAAAATGAAACTGATGGATTATTTAATGCATTTGAGAGGTAGAAATGATTATTTCCAAATATTAAATAGATCTGTTGGTGTGTTAGGAACAAAAAAACAGTACATACATAGAAAATTAAACCAATGAAAGAAAAGGAAGTAACTCCAAGTAAACAAAAATCTGTATGGGGGCAGATAATCATTGTACATTATTCGACTCAGCATTGAACGATCAGCACTATACTTATCATCATACATGTATAAGTACTAAATATTGGCTTTATTTACAATTATAATTCAATCAAGAAAATAGAGAAGTTGAGTATAAGGAAGAGATTCCCAATGACCATAATGGGAAATCAGTAAATATTCTTCAAAGCTAATGAATCAAGAAATGATAAGCATATTATCAGGGAATATGAATGTAGTTATTGGAAGACGTAAATTAAAAAGGTGAAAGTGGCTACTTTAAAGGATAAGAGTTAAAAAAGTGGCACTGGACTGTTTTTGATAATATATTTTAGTAATATTTGCTTAACTATGTACAGGTGTTATTTTGATAAGTCACAATGTTAAACTATATTACAAAACTAAATATATATTATATATTGTAAAAACAATCATTTTAATATCTATAAACAGACATATATATAAAGTATATTTTCTTTTTTAATATTTATTTTTTAGTTGTAGTTGGATACAATAACTTTATTTTATTTATTTATTTATTTTTTTATGTGGTGCTGAGGATCAAACCCAGGACCTCGTACATGCTAGGCAAGTGCTCTTCGACTGAGCTACAATCTCATCCCCAAAGTATATTTTCTTATCTTTATTTTATTTATTTACTTATATGTACTGCTAAGGAGTGAACCCAGTGCCTCACAAATGCTAGGCAAGCACTCTATCACTGAGCCACAACCCCAGCCCCTAAAGTATATTTTTTTATGATTGTGTGTGTGTGTGTGTGTGTGTGTATGAATGACAGATTTTTAGAGGTCACTCATGTACTCATGATGATTATGTCATAATTTTGGCTAGACCCAGCACCTGTCTAGAAGTATAATTTGAGGATCCCAGAAGAGTTGCAGCTTGGTACCTAAAATTCCCATCATTAGAATTATTCCTTTGTTTTTAGTAGAATCTTTCAAAGGGCCTACCAAAATGTAGATATTGGGAAGTGATAGATTAGCACATTAGAACATGTACATTTTAAAAATTGATTCATGTCATGGAGGATCCGAAAGGAATAGAATATTGGATCACAGTCAAGAAGATAAGAAAGTTCAGCTTTGGAGAGACTAGGATCAGGTCTGTGACTTGAGAACCTGAGATTTCATGAGAATCTTGAGTATCCCAGGGAGCCCAGGCCCATGAAAACGGGAGCAACAGTCATCTAAGGCTATATTGTATGTTTTCTTAACCCAGAATCCTTCATGTAATTCATCTAAAACAAAATCAATTTGCATGAGATAATAGATGATAGATACAGCACTAGAAAGAGTATTTTTAACCCGATTATTTATTAAGAATATATTAAGTAGAGACTGATATTAAGCACAGAAGTGTGTGGCCTTCATTCTACAGGACCATACAGCTCTTGAGCAATCTCCTCTTTGCTGCTATCTTCTCCCACAGAACAAGAAACACAATTAACAAGAATTTCATTTCCAGTCCTTTTATATCTTCTTCCCTCTCCCCTATGAAGTTACTAACAAACTAGAAAATGAAATTACTAGCAAGCTTGAAATGGTCAAATGTTTGCCAGAAATCATCAATTTAAAAAATTCATTGATCAGATAATCACAAGTGGATAATTAAACTCCTATTTAGAGGAATTGTAATAACTGCTAAATAATAATTAAGTGTTGCCAAACTATGAATTTGATGTTCTGCAGTAAGCATCCAAAATCAAGTTGGGGAGGGGGGACAGAGACATATCTTAATCAGGAGGATGAATTGCAAAGGAGTGATTTTCATTCCTGTTTTAGAATCATTTGCTCTCCTCACATTAAAACAGATCAGACCCCCTTTTAGAATGTATTTATTACTGAGAAGGCCATAATATTGGGAGGGAAGGAATTCCTGAACGGAAAGCAAAATTAATTTGTAGATTTCACTTTCCTGTTAATGTACCTGACAAATGTACTATAAGCATGGAACCTTCAAAAATTATGTTGTGTTTTGGAATTGTAAACAGCTTTAGTGAGAGGAGGTAGAAATGAGGACAAATGAACTTCCAATGAATGCCAAGTAGACAATTCTGAACGAGATCAGCTCTTGGCACAGATGCAAGTAGGCATAACTTAGGGTCTTTAGGGCTTCTGTCAGCAGGTGTATTTGCTTGGTTTCACATAGTAATGATTACAGAAATCTAAATATAGATTTGTTAGTCTATAATGTCTTTCTTTTGAACTTTATTATATGTTGTTCCATATTATTTCACATGAATGTATTCATAAAACCTAGGAAAATCTTTTTTGTAGAAATCAAAGTGTCATTTGCCCTCACAAAAGCTCATATTTAAATTATTTTAAATATTGTTAATATTCCAGGCCTATTTACAATTATACTTCCCTTCTTTGTACATTCAAGCATTTATTCCTTCAGTACACACACGTTAAAGCAACTCTCAAATTGATCACAATCATGAGTCAGAGTTACATTCTTCACTCAGTAGTAAAGCACCCCTCATTCAATCTCTAGTACTGCAAACAAACAAAAACACAATTCTCTCCAGTGATTAATATTTCTTAAAGTAAATGAGTTTGAAATCATAAGATCAATTAGAAAATGATAGTAGCATCCCAGTTTAATTCAATAAACACCTAATCTATGCCAGGCTTCATGCTTACAGCCAGGGACATGGTTTCTGTCCCAGTTCTTAGCTGAGTGTGGAGATGAAGGCACAAACCTGGCTGCACTGCATCCTAACTGCACAACTCTAGAAAAGTTCATTATCATCTTTGTTACCCTAGCTATTGAATGAGGAAAATAATGAAAATCATCTCATAAGAAGGTTGTGAAGATTCATTGAGTTAATAAATGCTAAGGGCTTAGAATAGCACCTTGTATATACCAAGCAATCAATAAATGATAGATAGGGCTGGGGATGTGGCTCAAGCGGTAGCGTGCTCACCTGGCATGTGTGTGGCCTGGCATGTGTGTGGCCTGGGTTCCATCCTCAGCACCACATTCAAACAAAGATGTTGTGTCCGCCAAATACTAAAAAATAAATATTAAAATTCTCTCACTCTCTCTTTAAAAAAAATAAAATGAATGATAGATATTGTTATTATTTTTAGACATTGTCTCATAGCAATATAATAAGTGCTTTGAATACAATGTATGTAGGGTGTTTCAGTACTACAGAGGTCACACTTGGCTAAGCTAAGAGATGGTAAGGGTCTGACTCTGAGTTAATAGAGGAATTGGGGAAGTGGAGAGAAGGTGATGGAAGCAAGAAATGATATCATAGTAGGATCCCAAGAGCTTAGTAACTCATCAGATGCCAGGAGTGAAGAAGCAGGATGAGTCCAACATAATTCCAGGGTTGTGTTGGAGCAAAAGAAAAAACAGGTTTAGGTTAATGTATCTTCTCAAACATTTAACATTTCTTTGTGGTGAAAACATTCAAAATTCTTTCCTTAAGCTTATTGAAATATATAGTCCTTTACCATGTTCTTCAGTCATCCTACTATGCAATAGAATACCAGAACTTCTGTGCCTCAGAAATTAGAATTTTTGGAACTACCTATTTAATTCAAGATACAATTTCCAATTAACAGCGGCAAAATGTTATTCAAATCCAATCAGAGTTGCTACTTAACATCTAGAATTGGAAATAGACATTACTATGGCAGACACATTAAAATATTTAAAATTTAAATTCATTTTTAATTGATACATAAAAATATAAAAATGTACAATTATACTTTTTTGCAACTGAGTTATAGAGTTTTATGTATATTCTGGATATTAACTTTTTGTCAGATGTATAATTTGCAAGTATTTTCTCTGGTTCTGTAGATTCCCTCTTCATTCTGTTGATTATTTTTTCCTTGATGAGCAGAATTTTTTAAGTTGTATGTGATCCCACTTGTCTAATAAGTGCTATTAGAAAGTGGGATCACATACTTTTAGAATCTTTTTATATAGTTATTTTTCATTTTTGCTTTTCAACTCTAGTATGCTTTCAGTAATTGTGGGATAGATCGCAATGTATCATTCAAAGAAAGATATAATCCTTAATTTTATCCAAATATGTGTCTATTTTATTATATAAATTTTATTATATAAATGTCTTAAATTTCAGTGCTCTGCATTTCAATTAATTTAAAAAAGGAGGATGAGGTTGCTTTGCAACTTTAGGAGATCTAACAGCGACACCTGCTGGAAAAATGTTAAAAGAAAATTTGAACAACAAAAATCTAAAATTTTAGATCAGTTTCATGTTCTATTGATCAGAAAGACACTTATTAATTTACCATAAGAGAGTTTATAATAAGCAAATGCAAAATATTTTATAGGAGGATCTTCGATCAAGTTTTACAAATTTACAAATTAAAATACATCTTCTCTTTTCAGGATAAAGTTATTTTGGGAACTGACTACCCCTTTCCACTAGGTGAACTAGAACCTGGGAAATTAATAGAGTCCATTGAAGAATTTGATGAAGAAACAAAGGTAAATATCTTTCATTTCATAGTCTTTTCCTGAGCTTTCCTGTTCAATTGGGTTTGATTTCAGAGCACTTTGGCACACGATAACAAAGAACAGAGGAACCACTGAACTTAATGTTCCTAGAACTACTACTATTTTTTTTCTTTTGGTGGTTCTGGGAGTCAAATCCAGGGCTTCATGCATGTAAGGCAAGAGATGTAACACTGAGACACCCTCCTAGCTAAAATATTAAAGGGCAAAAGAACATTAAAAAAGCTGAAAGTCAGCCTACTACAACTGAATTCATAAAGCCATGAAAGAAAACTGTAAATAAGCATATAATAATAATAAAACTTGCATGTTAAGTGGATTAGAAGGGAAATAATATTTTTCTTTAATATTTCTGTTACAAATCTACCAATCTCAAAAGTTGCAATGATTCTAGTTATTCAGCTAAAGTCAAGGTTTCAAGGAGAAAGAAGAGTCCTAAAGTAACTGGATTTTTTTCTCCTCAGTGTTTAAAGGTGGGTATATAATACTAAAATACATCTACCTAATCTATCCCTTAGACTCCTGAATCAAGATGAGTTTAAAATGAGATGCAGTGTCCTCACATTTCCTCTTCTTTGCTATCTCCTTGCCACTCCATCTTCTAAAAATGAAAGTTCTTCCCAAGGGCTTCACCACCTGTCACTACCAGGGGTCAGGGATGGCCAAAATTTGAAATTAGGGGATGAATAAACTCTTTAAAAACTTACAAAGGTCTCAATCATAATCCTTTTGCATATTTATTGACTTCTAATGTAAAATCCAAAAGTTTCCTCAAGGTTTCTCTACCTTACATAACTTATCAAATCTTCTGAATGGACTTGAAGCACATTAACAGATGTGGATAATTCATTCTGATGTATGCTAGTTGCCAGTTATTAACTGGGAAACCTTAGACTGTGTAACAAAGATGTATCCCCTTTGGCATTTACCTTGAGGTAGTAAAACCTTGAATTGTTGGGGCTGCAATTGTGGCTCAGTGGTGGAGCACTTGCCTAGCATGTGTGAGGTACTGGGTTTGATCCTCAGCATCACATAAAAATAAACAAAATAAAAGTACTGTGTCCATCTACAACCAAAATATTTTTTTTTTAATTCTTGAGGGGTTGGGGATATAGCTCAGTTGGTAGAGTGCTTGCCTCGCATGCACAGGGCCCTGAGTTCAATCCCCAGCACCATAAAAAAAAAAACAACTACCAATTAGTAGAAAGCTAAGATTTTTTTTCTTTCTTTCTTTTAGTTTTTGGGTTTTTTAACAACAGTTTAAAAATGAAAAACTTTTTATACTGTTAACCAAAATTATACAGAAATCATATTACTACAAGTATCCTGATTAAGACTTTAATGGAATTATAATTATTATTTTATGCCTCTTTTAGTTTATTATTTGGTGTTTATTGCTTTGAAGTTTTAAAATAACTTCCATAAAAATTTTATACTATCACAAATTCACAATGACATTCTTTATAAGGGTACTCATTGCAACACTGTAATAAAATACTGAAAATAAACTTTAGGGGAATGGTTAAATAAGTAATATATACAATAAAATCTATACAGCCATAAAAATATTAGAAATCAGTATTGAACATATTATTTTAAAAAGCAAGATGCAAAATGATTTATATATTTCCACTTGTAGATACTATACTGTCCATTTAATGAAAAAGAATACCTATATACCTAAGTAAAAGTATTTGCTTGAATATGCATAAAATATTCTGATAGAATAAATAAGAAACTGATAATTCTTGGAAGAAAAAGTGGTAGTAAAGTGACAGTAGTGGAAAAATGTTTTTACTTTATATCTTTTGATTTTTTAACCACAAGCAGGTAAATACCCTTAAGTTTAAGGCAAATTTAAAGTGTAATAAATAAATTCATTTGATGAGTTCAACAACACTAAGAGGTATACAGGCAGATGTGTACCACCAAGAAGATATGGAAGAGGAAAACAAAATTTAGTTGTTCAGTGATTTGCCAAAAGTGATATAACTTGGGATATAGCATATAGAGGTAACCCAAATCCCCTAACTCAAGAATACACAAAAGGGTAACACTTTTGAAGCATACTTTGAACTAGCATATTTTAAAAGATAAAGAGATGGTTTCTCTAAGTAGCAAGTCACTTCTAAAATGTAGCTTTAAGGAAGATAGCCCAAGTGTGCATCAATGAAGAAATCTGAGTAAGAGGTCCTTATACCAAATCACCCTCTAATTAATGCTATTCAAGAGCCCCAAGGTAATCATGATATGGAAAGCTGTGTGACATCCATATATTAGTGGTATGGATGTTACACAACTGTCATACATGTTTCCTTCTACCCTCTCTACCCTCAGCTACATGCCTGTTCTTTGCAAACTAGATACAAATCAATTAGGGTATCACAAAGTAAGCTGTCCTTCAATCATTTCTTTCTACAGAGTTGATAGTCTCTGGCCAGGAAGGAGGTGGAGGAAAAAATGACAGAATCTTTTCCTCATAGGAAATTTATAAAATGTACAGATTTGTGGGCTGGGGATGTGGCTCAAGCGGTAGCGCGCTCGCCTGGCATGCGTGCTGCCCGGGTTCAATCCTCAGCACCACATACAAACAAAGATGTTATGCCCGCCGAAAATTAAAAAATAAATATTAAAAATAAATAAATAAATAAATAAAATGTACAGATTTGTACTTCAATCTGAGATCCTTCATCTATATAACTTATCTTGTTGCAGGCTGGGGTTGTGGCTCAAGTGGTAGAAGGCTCACCTAGCACATATGAGGCACTGAGCTCAATCCTCAGCACCACATAAAAATAAAGATATTGTGTCCACCTAAAACTTAAAAAAAAAGAAAGAAAAAAATTTTTGAAAAAAAAATAACTTATCTTGTTCTGAAAGACCTCACTTTTTTCGGGGGCGGGGGGAAGGGGGGTGGTTACTGGGGATTGAACTCAGGGGCACTTGACCACTAAGCCACATCTCCAGCCCTATTTTGTATTTTATTTAGAGACAGGACTTCACTGAGTTGCTTAGCACCTCACTTTTGCTGAGGCTGGCTTTGAACTCGTGACCCTCCTGCCTTAGCCTCCTGAGCCACTGGGATTACAGGACTGCACCACCTCACCTGGCTAGACCCTACCTTTTATTTAGGGCAATATAAAAGGACAATATATAGAAGCCAGGGAATGGCTAGTTTACTTCTCAACACTGTTTTTCAAGCCCTCTTGTCCCATAGACCTAAATTGTACATTTTCTCTGCATTTGCCTCAAAATAATCCTTCAAACCTATTGGAGATCCAATAAGGATTTCCAAAGAGGGCACTCCCCTAAAAAGGCTTTCCCCCTTATAAGTCTTTTCCTCTACTCCTACAGTCAAGTTTCAGATTTATTTTTAATTCTAATTTGTTCTTTTTAGATATAAATGACAGTAGAGTGTATTTTGACATATTATACATACATGAAGTATAACTTCTCATTCTTGAGGTTGTACATGATGTGGAGTTACATTGGTCGTGTATTTATATATAAACTTAGGAAAGGTATATCCAATTCATTCTACAGTCTTTCCTATTCGCATCCTCCCTCCAAATGCAATAATTTCATTCTTCTTTTTGGCTGAGTAATATTCCATTTGTGTGTGTGTGTGTGTGTGTGTGTGTGTATCACATTTTCTTTATCCATTAAGTTTCAGATTCAGATTTCACATAGTGGGGCAAAACATGGGTCAAAGGATTTTGGTAAGAGACTCACTATATAACCTGCAAATAATTTTCTCTCCTACTGGAGAGCTGATAATTTTTTTAAATTTTTTTTTATTATTAGTTGTTCAAAACATTACAAAGCTCTTGACATATCATATTTCATACATTTGATTCACGCGGATTATGAACTCCCATTTTTACCCCGTATACATATTGCAGATTCACATGGGTTACACATCCACTTTTTTACATACTGCCATACTAGTGTATGTTGTATTCTGCTGCCCTTCCTATCCTCTACTATCCCCCCTCCCCTCCCCTCCCATCTTCTGTCTCTACCCCATCTACTGTAATTCATTTCTCTCTCTTGTTTTTTTTCCCTTTTCCCCTCACTTCCTCTTATATGTAATTTTGTATAACAATGAAGGTCTCCTTCCTTTACCTTGCAATTTCCCTTCTCTCTCCCTTTCCCTCCCCCCTCTTGTCCCTGTTTAATGGTGATCTTCTTCTCATGAAAGAGCTGATAATTTAAAAACCCAATGAGGACATTTAATAAAATACTTTAAAAACAACCAATAATGCTTTAATATATTCTCTTCTTTTTTTAGGATAAACTCAAAGCTGATAATGCCCTGGCATTTTTGGATCTTGAGAGAAAACAATTTGAATGACTGAATTCACTACAAAAACAAACTTTCAAGAAGATATTTCACATTTGTTTTTTAAATATGTATCACATATGCATTACTAAAATCCTATTTTGAATTATTTAACCTAGAAATAGAATATCCCAAATACTCTAAATTATTCATAACAAAAATGATTCACAAGTGCTTTCATTCTGAAAAGCAGTACATTATCTCACATGAAAATCAGAAGTTATTTTTCCAATGCCTTTTTTTTTCTTTTTTGTGATGCTGGGGATTGAACTCAGGGCCTTGTGCAAGCAAGGCAAGCACTCTGCCAACTAAGTTATATCCCCAGCCCTCCAATGCCTTTTTAATTAATTTGGAAGAGATCAAAAATAAACGTCATTAATTATTTATACAGAGAAAGATTAACACCAGATTTATTTTAGAGGGCTCAGGTGGGGTCTTCATTTTGATCAAGGATATGTAAATTGGGCCCAAATAACCTGTTTTATTCACTTCTTAACACTTTTCACTAGCCCATAATTTGGCTGGGAATGCTTTAGCCTCCACAAAATAACTGATGTTCATACAGGTTATTCAAGCCATCAAAGAGCTTACAGCCCAATTAAAGAAGCAAAGTACATGTTCATGGAATAATTACTGAGCAATGCAACATGAAGGTCAAAAAGATTTCAGTAAAAGTAATTCATTTTGGTCTTAAATGGTTAGGTAAATCTTCATAGAAGTTGGAATTTAGATTGAATGTAGCAGGATGGATACAGCTTATTTTAGGGTTACAGGATAGGAAACAGGTAGAAAAGCAAACTGCAGGAATATAGATGTGATTCCAGACCAGATGAAACTTATCTATTCTGGAGAAAAGTTCCAGTCTATAAATTTACCAGAAGTTCTTTTAATACCCCTGTCCCAAGGACTGGGGATTGAACTCAGGACCCCACACATGCTAGGCAAGCACTCACTCTATCATGGAGCTACACTTCTACATTTTTATTTTATTTTGATACAGGGTCTTGCTAAATTGCCAGGTTCACCTTGAAGTTGAAATTCTCCTGCCCCAGCCTCCCATGTAGCTGGAATTCACCATACTTGGCTAATTTTTAACTTAAAATACTGATCAAAATGTATAAAGCTAGCCATGAAGAGTGAGCTGGCCAATACCAGGGTATCCTTGTTCTACTCATTCTATTTATTGTCCCACCTGGGCTGTTGCAAAGATCCTGGTAAGGGTGATGAACAACTGTGGTTCATATAAATCTGGCTGAATTTCAAAATCAAATCAATTAAATTTTTCCAAATGATCTTTTTGCTTTGGGTTCATTCATACTTCCTTTCCCTTTCCTTAGTACAGAAAATCAAAAGTATTGCCATGTAATTTGTGTTGACCAATCTTAAGGGTGAAGAAGAGATCTAATTCTTACTAAACTTCCCATTCCATTATTTTTACTTTATATAGTTCATCCATCTCCCTCTCCCTCTCTCTCTCCTCCAACCTCCTGTAGCTTTCTAGGATTTTGCCCAGCAACCACTCTGCTTGTTACTTCAATCTGCCTAAAAAGAAAAATAAGGTTAAACAAGATAATGTTAGACAGCTAGTCAGTCAAACAGATAAACTGGGGAAAAGATAATGAAGGATGACTAAAAGCCACAGGGACCTTTATCTGACAGATAAGCACCTGGAAGATGGGACTCGGTGTGTTAAAACTCCCCCTGCCAAAGTTACATTCCTTTTAGTAAAACTTGTTTCATGTCCAAGTCACTCCCTCCCAGGTATCTAGACCCTATCACAACCCCATTGCCTTCTACCACAACTAAAACATTTAAGAAGACCCTCATCAAGAAAGCTTGACGGGGGCTATTCAAGTGCTAATAAACTGATTAAGAAGGCAGGAAATGGAGGCAAAAACTGGATCAATAACAAACCCACTAAGGGGACAAGTAATTGGGTCAAAAACAATTCCTAGGGGAATTTCCTAAAACACTTCAACTCTGAATACCACACCTTTCTTGAAGGTGGTCCATGAAGTTCCTGTGCTGTCAGTCAAAAGTCAGAAGGTGGACTTAGAACTCTGGAAACTTCTCCTAAGAGGGCTGAGGAGGCCTGATATCCTTTTATTCTCTGAGAGAACCCTTTTCCTTCCTTCAGAGTGTCCCTTTCCCCTTTCCTGAGCAACATATCTGAAATCTTTCTGGCCTCACCAAAAGTATGGGGGAGGGGGGGAGGTTCGTGCTGCCTCAATTTCCCAGAGGGCCCATGCTGTGTAATAGTAACAGCATGAAGCATGTTATTGTTTTTTTCATCCCCAAATCTTTGGGAGAAATGTCTATTCCTTTTCAAATATTTCATATTTCAACCACTTGAATATAGTACTTAGTGACTGTTTTATAAAAAGGGACTCGGTAAGGTGACTCTATGGCCAGTGTGATTCTGCAATCTGTACAATCAGAAAAATGAGAAATTATACCCCAGTGATTCAAATGTATGAATTGCCAAGATCATTGTAATGTCATGTGTAGCTAATAAAAATAAATAAAATAAATTTCTAAAAAAAAGGGACTCAGTAACTTTATTCAGTATCACATATGATATAGTGAATGGGTCCCTTCATATTCACAAGAGTATTTTCTAATGTGTCAGGACTGTAGGAATGCTACAGGCACTAGGTAGAAGAAATAACCAAAACCGGGAACAGACCTCTATAGATCAGCAAGCTTCTTATATTAAGCAGCAGAATGGCACATTTTCAGGGGAGAAAATGACGATTGATTACAACTAGGGTCTGATTTTTATAGGGTTTAAGTGAGATTGGAATCATAACAAGTGAGACTTAAATAATGGCAAAAATGTATCTGTTGGGTAGTCAGTGGAAAACAGTTGTGCAAGTTCAAAACTCAAATCAGGGGAAACAGTTGCAAAGTTCTAAACCCAGTTTTCCTGGGAAAGTTTGAAAGTCCAGAGCCCAAAGTCCATTGTTTGCCTCCCCTCTACACACACATTGTCCTCTTTTCTCCCTGGAGGTTATTCCCCTTTTTTCATGGGGTTATTTTTCATATCCTTCACTGGGGATATGGAATTAAACAGAAAGGATAAAATTCAAACAGAAAGGATAAAATTCTTTCTCTGACGAAGGTTACAGTCTTGAGGGTGAGAAACATAAATCAATGTAGGAGGGAGGAAAAACAGTGAATGAACAGAATGAAGGAAGAAGGAAATTTTCACTTATTGGTAAACACTAAAAAAATTAAAACAGGGAAATGTGATAGGGTCTTGGAAATAGATCAGAGATAAAATAATAAATTGGAGGGCCCGGGAAAACCTCTTTATAGAGGACTTTGATTAGGGTGTAGCTGGAAAGTGGGGTTGCCCTCTTGCCATCATGCAACCCATGTTTGTGGTGGCCCTAAAGGGAACATGCTTCTGGGTTTAAGGGGGATTGTATGTAGCAGAGCAGCTCCCTGGCTGCAATCTATTGAGTGAGCCTTCCACACAAGGGTTTGATTAAAATAAAAATTTAAATATAATAATAATAAAGAGGACTTTGAACTGAGACTTCAGTGCTAGAAGGGGAGAAGCCTTCCTTCTAGGCAAAAAGTACTAAGGCACTGAGGCAGGGAAGAACTTTTGGTTGGAGTTTGTGAGCAAGGGAGAGAGAGGTAGGAGATGAAGCCAAAAATTTGGCCAGTTTAGCAGATGATGTCAAGAGTTTACATGTTTACATTGTTTCACAGAAAGCTCTTGGAAGTTTTTTAATAGGTCTGTAACATGTTCTGACTTATGTTTAATAAAAATGTATTAACTACATAGAAAATTATTTAAAGGAGGTCAAGAATTAAGGTAGGGAGACTAGGCAAGAATTGATGGTGACTCAGGCAAGAATAATAGAATAGGGATGGTGAGCTGTGTTTGGAGGTAGAACAAACAGCACTTAGTGGTGGACTGAGTGTGAAGAAGAGGTGATAAGTATATAATGAAATGAGTGAGCAGGGGAAAGACAATGGTTGGGGGGACAACTGAAAACCAAAAACAACCTAACAAGTAAGCACCTGGAAGATGGGGGCTTGGTATGTCAAAACCTCCCCCAGACTTTTTTTTTTTTTAACTTACTGAGGATTGAACCCACGGGCACTTAACCACTGAGACACATCCTCAGCCCTTTTTATATTTTATTCAGAGACAGGGACTGGCTAAATTGCTGAGGCTGGCTTTGAATTCTCTATCCTCCTCCAGAGTTTCTGGGATTACAGGTGTGCACTAACACTCTGGACTTCCCCCAGTCTTCTTTTTTTTTTTTTCTTGTCTTAGTTGTACATGACAGCAGAATGCATTTCAATTCATTGTACATAAGTGGAGCCCAATATTTCAATTCTCTAGCTGTACACGATGTAGAGAGGCACCATTCGTGCATCATTCCCCCAGTCTTAATTAAGAAAAACTACCACCAGGCATGATGGCCGAAGCCTGTAATCCCAGCGGCTGAAGAGATGAGACATGAGAATCTCAAGCCTCAGCAATGGCGAGGTGCTAAGCAACTCAGTGAGACCCTGTCTCTAAATAAAGTACAAAATAGGGCTGAGGATGTGGCTCAGTGGTTGAGTGCCCCTGAGTTCAATTCGTGGTACCCAAGGGGTGGGTGGGTAAATGAATAAATAAATAAATCTACTGTTTCTGGACCATTATCTCCTCGAACAAGTCTGCAGGACTCTCCCTTATCACCAAACTATGTCACACCCCCATCACCCAATAGCCAGGACCCTTACAAAGAAAACCTGGTGAGGGATATTCAAAGGATAATGAACCAATTAAGGGGGCAGGAAATTGAGACAAAAACTGGGGAACTCAGTATCCTTAAAACTCAAACTCTGAGCCCATAACATTCTCTCAGGGACCCTTCCTGCAGTTCCTATGCTGCCAAAAGTCAGAAGTTTAAATTAAAAACAGTCAGAAGTTACATTTGGACAGGACTCTGGAAACTTCCTGGGACTCTCAATAAAATTGGAGGGCAATCCTTCTCCTCTCTGAAAGTTCTCCTTCTCTCTTGAAAATATCCCTTTTCTCTATTCCTACTGCTCATAATAAACTCACATCTGTTACTGAGTGATACTCAAAATATTTATGGCATGATCACAAGAATGGGGCAGGGGAGGTTTCAGGACTGTATCAGTTTCTCAGAAAACCTATGTATAAGGGCACTAGTAGTGTTAGGGTCTGGCGGAGCGTCGGAGAAAGAGACCACACAAGAGACTGGCTCCATGCAATTGGCAAAAAGAGATTTATTGGGGATCCATTCCAGCACGCTGGGGCTCCGTGCTCACTCAAGAAGGGAGAGCAGCCCAGATCCCCGAGCAGAGGTCAAGCAGAGCTTAAGTACATTTTCTGGACAGGGCGGTGGGCTTTGCATACATCAGAATAAATCATCATGAGGCGCAGGAAAATTGAACAACAACTCTGAGAGGTGATTAGCACATTCATTGGCGGGAACAGGTCGGGCAGGGGTGATTGGTCATTCCTAAGCGGGTTACACATTCAAACTGATTGGTTCGGGCCCTGTGACGAACTGCACAGGGCCCTAGGCTAAATGGCCAGTAGGGCGTTGTTTTAACTATCTCAGGAATCTGGGTGTAACAGAGGAATTTAATAATACCTAATCTTTTATATTCAAGCTTTCCAGCTTAGAAACTTTACCCTTTCATTCCCCACTCCTTTTTCTGACTACTTTTAATCTTAAAAGTAATGAATCATAATTATTGGGGAGTCTCAGTTTTCATCTCTGTCAGTGGAGCATATTGCCTTCTGATTACCATGGGTTGTCCTGTGTTTCCTGGAATCATTTTTAGCATGGCCTCCATTTTAGATTTCACTCGGTATTAGACCCCGATTTATCTAACTACACTGACTACCTAACTTTAAATCTGGCTTCATTCCCCCCTCTAATTTGGGAACTCCTTACTGCTGTGAGGAAGGGGGACAAAGATGATCTCTCTGG